TGGGAAGCTGCAGGAGCAGGGCCTGTGAGCAGCAGCATGCAGAAACTCCCTCCCAACCCCTGCCTGGGACTCCAGGTAAGCCCTGCACCACCCCTTACTGCTCTTCCCCCCCTTCATCCTTCCCACTCCCAAATTCTCCCACGGCTTCCTTGTATTCACACCTCCTCCAGCCCCCAAACTCCCTTCCAAAGCCTGAACCTCTCCCCCTTCCTGCGCCCTCACCCACTGCCACAGTTCAGAGCCTGCACCCAGCATCAAGACTCCATCTCAAATCTTGCATACTAGATCCCCTCCTCCTCCCAAACTCCTTCCCAGAGTCCAATCCCTTACTTCTGCACACAAACTCCCTCCCAGAACCTGCATCCAAATCCCAAACTCCTGGGTAGTGGGTATAGAGGCAAGAGGAGGCAGTGCCTTCCCTGGGACTTTGTGCTCAACCTGTCTTCTCTTCCTATCTCTTCCATTCCTGAAAGCTCTCGCAGCAGGCTGTTGCTGCTTGCTGAAACAGAGGTGGCAATCGGTTCCCCAGGAGCAGGAAGCCCAGATGTAACTGTTTATATGGTTATACACTCACATACCTACTGAGGACATGAATAAACAACACGTTTAAACCAAACCAAAGTTGGTTCATCTTCCTGCAAGGCACAGTCAGCATGTGGCGCTCCTTGCTAGTCAATGTCATGAAGGCCAAGCTGTAAGGGGGTTCAATAAAATGTTAAAAATTGTATGGAGAATGTCTCCACCAAGGGTTATTGGCCAAGACAGTCAGGGACAGTCCCATACTCCTGGCATATCTAAACCTCAGACTGCCAGCTTCTGAAGGAGTGGCTGACAGATCACTTTATAATTGCCCTCTTCCGTCCACTGTCTTTGAAGCATCTGGCATCTGCTGCTGTCGGAAGATGGGTGACTGGGATAGCAGGATCACTGTTCTGCCCAAGTCTGGCCATTCGTACTATCTTAATTTCTGCCTTGCCTCATGAAGAGGGAGTTGAAGAGGTTTCTCCTGCCATCCAGAATTCCCTAATCATTGGGTCACAGGCTATAGTGATAAGGGCTCCCACAATGTTACCCATTGAAGCTGTTTCACTTTAACTAGTGCTGGAGTGAGGTGGTGTATGGGCTGGTGGTGGGGCTTCTCTGGTGTGTTAGTGGAGCTATTAGGTCAAATCTCCTTTCTGCTCCCTGAAAATGGTGTTTTAGACGAGAGGTATGCTTCAGCCTATGCATGTTCCTGGGTTATACAGCTAGTTATGGCGATGGAGGCTGGGGAGCCCTTGAGTTTGCTTGTTGAAGCTGATACACGTTAGTAAATAAGTGTTAGTTAAAAGCTGGAATCGGTGTGCATTGGCTCCTGTCCTGCACTGCCAGCCCCTTTAGCCTACCTGGCTGCCTGCTGCTGAGCATTACAGTCTGCAGGAAACCCCAGGACCCTTTCCCCTGCAGCTAAGTGTCCCAGCCTGCTGGCTTCCTGCTGGAGTGGTGTACCAGCTTGTTTTCACCTTGGGAGCATACTGGAAGTTGCTTTAATGTGCCCATACTACCAATCGTTCCAAGAGGTCACCATAGCACCTGAGGATTGAAAGGGCACAGGGATGCTCTGGGCATGGTGCCTATGCCAGCCATGTGTTTGGGGAAGCAGGAGTTGGATGGCATAGGACCTAACACAGAAAGTCTGAGCTTTCAAAGTAACTCTAAAAAGTGTATATCACAATTCATTCAATGAAGTCAGAAAAACTCCATATAAAAATTCTTTGGTCAATGTGTTTAAAAATATTGCTGATATGAAATTCACAAACACACCCACTGTTAAAGCATGGTCTAGTTCATGGGTTTGCCAGGATTAATTCATGGTGGGCTATCACCACTAGATGTACCTGCACCTCCTTAGGTAATGGTGATCACAGCTCCCATTGGCCAGTGATCATCTTTCTTAGCCAATGGGAGTGATGGGAAGTAGCACGACCCAAGCCGCCACCACCTCCTACAGTGCCCATTGGCCAAGAACAGTAATCTGTGGGCAATGAGAGCTATGATCGTCAGTACATGCAGAGGCGCAGGTAAATATAGCGATGAGAGCCTGCTACAGGCTAACCCTGGCAAACCAGATCTGGCCCACAGGCCAGTATTTGCCTACTTCTGGTCTAGTTTCTTATTTAGCTTTATTAATACCCTTGAAAAAAGAACACACATCCCTTCTGTGTATCAATAGTGGAACAACTTTTTGTGTAGCAAAAGACAGAATTTGCTTGGTGAATTGTATTAAAAAATGTGGCTGCAGTTTTAAGAATCAGCTTGAGATAGACTTTTTAGGCCTTTTCAGCTTTCTCATCCCCCATGGTTTACCCGAGAGCCAGCTTCCAGAGGCAGAGATATAGATCTAAAACCTTGCTTTGCCCCTTTCCTAATTATTGTAGCATCCTCTTTTATCTTGGAGGGGCGGGACTTAAAAATACATGCACTGCCATATTGAATTTCATTTTGAAGAAAGTTTTCTTCCTCTATAGGAAGCACCCAGGAGCCAAGGTTAGGCTACTCTGTAATACTACCATATCTCTTCTGTTTTACTTTTATATTTCACTTTAGTTTCATAATGCAATAAAATATAACAGTGGTTTACCTCCAACATCTCCCTGTTTGCTAAGTAATGTTGCATTTATATTTTCATTGCTCCATATACTTAGAGGAAATAACCTGGGGGCATATGTTTGGAAGAAGCATCTGTTTAAATGTAAACTTTTTATTCTTAATGTTTGTCAAAAGATTTTTTTCCCCTTGGATATCAACCTGAAGTGTCTGAGTTGTCATAGGAAGGGATAACACTTTTTATGTTTTTATTTTATGTTTTTATGTTTTATTTTAATATTATTGGGCTCTATCTTTTATTATTTAGCTGTGTTTGGTTTGGAAAAGAGAGCTGATAGTCAAGTATTCCAAGCATAACTTTGGTCTGCACAGTAAAAAGGGCCCCATCTTTGCAGAGATTAATCCTCTTTGAAGAAGGTTTAAAGAGCAGAGAGGCTCAATTTCCATGCTTCATTATGAGTATTTGGTTATAAGAACTAAGGCATTAAACCTTCAGTTGGTGCAGGGTGGATAGACTATTGTGCCAGTGGAGATCTCCAGTGAAGTACCAGCTCATCTCATCTCATCTCATCCTACTTGAAATAAATGGGGCATACATCTTGTTTTTCCCACTTCCTTGTCTGTCTCATCATAGCAAAGGATGTTTTAGGTAATTAAGATAATTTCTGGCAAGATTTAAAAATCCCAAATCTTAGAAACATGAATGAAGAGTAATTGGTGAGGAAGTGGAAATTATTGAAAAGTGTTATATTTTATTACTTATGTATTGGAAATATACGGCAATGTGGCTAGAGACACAATGGGTGATTTAATAGGGTAAGGATTCTAGAATTGGCCTTCACACTTGAAGGTTTGGTAGTGGATATGAACTAGATTTTAAGCAGGATGTAAGTGTTGCATAAGCCTTGTGTTGCATGGGAATGATTTTCACACTGATTAAGTGTGAAATTATCTTAAATAACGTATAGGTACTGATGTGTCATTACCCCTGCCCTTGGGTGTTGGGGAGCACCAAGGACAAGGGGATAGTGTGTGTGTGTGTGTGCGCGCGCGTGTGTGAGAGAGAGAGAGAGAGCTTAGTGCAAGGGGTAGGGATGTGTGGGTGTGTGTGTGCAGGAGTCAGGGCAGTAGGTTAGAGTGTTGGGGGGCTGAGGACAGGAGACTTGGGATCTGTGGAGTGTGCAAAGGGACTGCAATCAGATGCTTTGTTTTGCTTAGCTCTGCCTCTTATACTGTCTAGGTAAAGTGTGTAGGACAGTGGGAATGCTGTAATGTCATATGATTCACAAAGAGTTAAACTATAATCTAGCAAGCCTGTGGGGAGACACTGTGAGAAATGCCTTGGCTTGAGAGATTCAGAATGGGTTGCAGGTAAGGGGAGGTTGGGATATTGCATTCTTCATGCCAGAGATGGGTGCCAGACACTGAATCTGCTTAATCACCCACCCTTCCCCTCCTCCCCCAGTTAAGTAGCTGCTGGCCTGCCCAACAGAGTCTCCCTCCAGTCAGCTGAGAAACTGTGTGCCTAGCCAAACTCCTCCTGCCTGCAAAAAAGGCTCACCTGCCTATAATCAGAACTAGGCTGGGAACTGCAGCCATTCCTCATTGAGAAAACAGCTGATTTGGACCAAACTGATGATAGTGGGAATCTCACCAGTCTGTCTGGTTGGCCAGCTGGGGATTGCTGATTGGCTTCAGAGCCTGGCACTAGCTGGCAAGGCTGCTCATCCAGTAGCTGATTGGTCACTAGCAGTTTATCTTCCCCTGGTGCTGAAGATTCTGGCCCCTTTCTTGTTGAAGCTGACTACTGGGTGCACCGCTCTACTTTCACCTCTCATAGAGTGAGATGAGCTCCGAGAATCAGCAGCTCCTGATCCCCTTTGTAGTCTTAGGTAAGTCACTTAGGAAACTGTGGTGAATAGGCTATCTGTAAAGTTGGGGGTGGTAATGTTCACTTAACTACTTCATAAGTAGGTCTTAAAAGCTTTACACATGAAAGTTTTGTAAGGGTCTTGGGATGGCCCCTGCAGGGAAGTAAATGGTACTTTTTAAAAAACCTATTACAATGTTTAGAATAACTTTACATAAATATAAAAAGAAATAGTTTCAAAATGTGCAGGAAAAATGCAAATGGAAAAGTAAAATTGCCATGTATAAATCTATAAATCCAGATGTCTTGGTTCTAAAGGTTGTGCCCTTGCCCTGCCATTTGTTTTCTGTTTTAGTCATTCTAAACATGCCACCTCCAGCAGCACGTCTCTGGCAGTGAATACAGTTTACATTGGAGAACGTTGATTCAGATTCCTCAAGAATTTTAACCCAATTTATCTCCGAACAAATGAACACGCTGATTGTTGTGCTGATTAGAACTTCCTTAATTAAAAGAAAGAAATCCAACCCATACCTACATCTTTAAGATCTGCTTCCATTGGTTTGGAACCTAAATCTACTTTCAAGACATACCCCATTCTTCTTCCCTTAACTGAATCAGCACTTCCTATGCTCTACATCTGTACCAGAGTAAGAACTAGATGCTTTTTATCCATCCAGTATAATTTGTATCGATCAAAAATTCAATATAACATTTTGGATTCATTTTCTCAATTTGCCTATAAAATATATTATTGAAACAGCCAGCTTTCATCACCCCTGAGAGACAGAATATCCATATTAAACAAGTAGATGATAATCTTTCACTTGCTGGGAATAATTAATCACTTCTAATTAACTAACATGATTTCAAAATGAAACCATAAACACTAGTTTGAATGATAACCTAAAGAGGCTATTGCTCTGGGTCACAATCAGCCTATATGGTTTTAGCTTCTTGAACCAGCTTTGTGTTTGTAATCAGGATGATTGTTTACTTTTCAATTAAGGCACAGTTCTGTGTGTACTTTAAAGCTGTGTATTTGACTTCTGATGTATTCCTTCTCCCAGGAGTCCATCAGATTGTTTTTTCAGCACTTCATGGAAGACCTCAAGCAAACTTTTGCCCCATATATATGCTCTAGTAGTTAATTATCTCTCGTCTCAAGTGTAACTTGTTTTTTTTTTTAGGCCCTGCAAATCATGGGTGAAGCAAACAATCCGTTTAGTGACTAGTATGAATATTTTGCATTCTGGTGGTCTGAATATTCCTCCAGATATCTAGTCAATATTTTGACTGGTGAATGTTTTTTCCATTCTTGCTAAAAGTGTATCAGCTGTAGTGGTATGCACAAAGCTTTTCATTAGGGCTCATAAATCATCCAGAGAGAGCCTGGGCATGTACCCCATCTACAAACCAGAGTACATGAATGTATATGAGACAAAACACCTTACTTTCTTAGATTCGGACTGGAAGGGACCATTGGTCCTGTTGATGCTTTCTGAATAATTAGGTCAGGCATGTTTTACACCCTACTATTGAGAACAGGGTTACCAGATAAATGGTGTATTCTCAGGCCTCTCTCATCATACCTAACCTGCTTTAAAGGACTGGAAAGAGAAGTTGATGAGATTCAAAGGTGTTTCTGATTTTTTTTCATAATGACATGAATAGCCAGCTTCTATCCACAGAGAAATTAAAATGTAACTTTAGGGAGTAGGCTTGCTGTCTTATTACTCAGATGAATGGGAGGAGCAAACTGCCTCTTGAAGTTCAAGGAAGGGGTAGGAGGGAATAAAAGGTCATCAGGCTACTTTCAAGACAAACATAATAGTTTCCAAGGGAGGGCAATGCTGAGGGTGGAATGACACTCTATGGCTTGGAAGGTGGCTATTCATTTTCAAGCGCTTTTAAATTGGGAAACAAGCACAGACCTAACATTAACATTTTGGAATCTTAATGTTATCTGCATAATACGGTGCATGGCATTGGAGCAGTTCTCACATCCAAATCAGTTGGCCACCTTCATAATGATGAGAAATAGCATGTTGGAAAAGCTTCAAGTGGAATCGTTGATGATTCTGAACTTGAAACTTCAGAATTTGATATGAGGATGATAAAACTGGTTCCAGTGTGGCCTTTCTCTGATGTAAACAGCGATGGGTAAAAAGAGGCTATAGGATGGCTTTGTCTTTGCGAGTCTTTGTTGATAATGAGGTTTTAGTTTGAGCAAAACTCACGTTATGAGAGCCTCACCAATATTTGGAGCTCATGGCTGGTTTTGGATAAATGATGGTAGGTTTGGTCCATGTTTGAGGTTTTCAGCACTGGCCTTAATCTGATCCCATTAAAGCCAAAGACTGTTTTACTGCTGATTTCAATTGAGAAGGATTAGGCCAAGGCAGAGAGCTTTCAAAACTGGGATTCCCCCCCATCATCCAGCTAACTGATTCACTCTCTTGGGAATTGCACCATCCTATATCCTTTGCTTTATTTTTAACACCCCTAAATTAGGGGTGGGGAACCTCTTGGCTTGCCTGCATCTGGCACCCATGGTTCAGACCCTCCGATACTGGGGAGTCTGTGCTGATGTTCCAGTCACCCAGCAGTCACCCCCCCACCCCATAGTGCTGGAGCACACTACATTTACTAGGCTGCCCCCCTCCCCACGCTCTGGTATGTGAAGGGAATGTGGGATGTCTTTCTTTCTCTCATTTGGGGACCACAGTAAGGGGTTTCTTTTTTCTGCTTCTCACTTGTGTGCTGCCCCCACCTGGTTTTTCTGTGAGCCAGTGGCCCTCCCCTCCCCCCCACGCACACACCAAAAAAGGTTCTGCTCCCCTGACCTAAATCATTTTGTGATGTCCTATCATAAAAAAAGCTATAGAAAAGTTTGTAGCCTAATTGTTCAATTGAAGTCTTTCACTATGTAAGGATCAGATCTGATAATATGCTCATTGCACATATACATAATATGCTCATTGCACATATACATGCAGGAAGTGCACATGCACAAAGGGGTGTGTGTGTGTGTGTGTGTGTGTGCGCATGTCTGCCCAGTTTAAAAAAAAGCAATCTCCTGTTTTCATCAATATTTCTTGTCATCTATAACTTAGTTTTCTTTCCTTCTAAATTAACTTGTTCATTTCTGTCTAGATAAGATCCTTATTTGGTCCTCATTAAATTAGTATTTAGCATATAATTAATGTATTTATCTTCGAAATACCTCTGTGAGATAGAGAAGTCTCATTTTTACACCTGGTGGGACTAAGCAACTTACCCAAGGTCATATTCAAGGTACGAGGTGGAGCAGAAAACTCCACTCTGGTCTACAATATCTTAGTTTAGGGCCCTAGCCTGTGCACCCTCTTTCTGCTCTAATTCTATAATTCTTGTCCACTTACATACTTTGTGCACACTGATTTTATTCCTTTGCATTTTCAAACACTTTTATAGATGGTCAGCTGTGTTTGTTTCTCTTGGATCCTAAAGGGTAAAATTTCCATTCTGTCCAATGAAAGCCTAAGTGTGGGTAAAATGAATGTGATAAGTACTTAAGACTTAATTGAAACTTTTAAAATTCAGGGCAGGGATATTTTAAAAATGCAGTTGATTACAAGACCAAATAAATTGACTCATTAGGCACTTCAGACGGAAAGGCCAATCTAATTTCAGGCCAGTGCTTCTGAAGGAATTAAATGATACTCATTTTTTCCTCCAAAACCTCTTGTCAGCTCTGCTGCTTTAGTCATCTGACAGCTATAACTACAGCCCTCACCCAGCAGGATTTCTTAGAAAAATGCAAGAGTATTTAAATCCATAGTGTCTAATGTCAAGCAAAATAAATAAAAAAGTTGAGTTTGTTTGTTTGCAATACTCCAGGTTTTTGCTTCTCTTCGGGAGTGCAATTTGTCTATTTGAGTAATAGAGCTAAGACTAGGCTAATCACAGAATGTACTGTATTGTTGGAATTTGGCCCCAAAGCAGTGTCTTCTTTCAAAACCTAAATATATTGAAACAAAAATAGCAAGTGTCTGAGGTAGTGGAAAAATTGTCTATTTAAAACTGACTGTAAAATTGGGTAATGGGTAATCTTGCAGAAAGGCATGTGGATTAATTTTCTTTTGAGATGTAAATACCTGCCCACCTTTGAGAATTATGCAGTCTTTGCTGTGGATTCACTGATTATTACTCTTTGAACAAATCCTATGAATCCCCCTAAACAAAGAGATGGTGTTGTAACGGGGCAATTTTCTGCAATATAGTTAAAATACCATGCTATCTTATGTTTATGCAATACTGTAGGATGAGATTGTAGGGCAAATTTCCTTTGGAGGAAGTGCAGTGGGATGCCTATGCTAGGGGGAAAAAATGAGACTTCTGTGACAAGTGTTGAGTGGATTCCTTAGGGGACACCTACAGAGAAGCTAATGCAAATGCTCTGTCTTTGGTTAATCAAAGATCAGTTGTATGATGTTAGGCTCTTGAGAAGTGGGTGTGTTTCCAGAGACTGGTGATGAAAAAGCATGAGCACTGGAGCAAAATGTATGAACTATCCAGGCTGGATTCTGGTTCTGAATCTAAGACACTAATGTGTGTGTGTGTGTGTGTGTGTGTGTGTGTAGACTCATTTGTGGGTTTAACTGTGGTGTCCAACCAGTTCTGCAGCAGTGGTTCTGCTACAACAAACTAGCCACACTCAACTGGCCAAATAGCCACATGTGGCTAGCATTTGGACATGACAGGTTTAGAAGGATTGATTCCCATTAGAACTCAAGCCTTTTTACCATGTGTGCAGGTTCTTTTCTTAATCTTTGCTCTGTAATGCTTTCACCTTAGGAGTAAATGTACTTGCTAAGAAAAGGTTGTGATATAACTTAGAACTGCTGGCTAATATTTGCTGGTAATATCTGGAGAGAAAGTAAAGCATAAAACTGTATTTTAGGCAACCAGGATTGCTGGGGATAATAGAGTATTCAGGGAACTGTGTAGCCTTAAAGACCAGTGATGAGGGAGAGGGAG